GGAGACTTCCTGAGGTACAAGTGGTACAAATTGTTCAAGAGTTAAGCAACAATTAGGCCTCTGTGATGAATGACTTTAGAGACTTTGTGATGAAGGGAGTCAGTTGAGAAAGATGATCTTATCAGTTCTATGTTGTAACTGGAAAGGCAAAGGCTCCCACAAATATTTCAGCTCCAACATGAAAACATCAAAATGGGTAACACTGCTCCAGAATCAACAGAGAATATTTGGGTGATATGTATATACCTTACCATCAAGATGGCACACATTAGAAATAAGGATTAATAAAAAATAATTTGTATATAATAATTGTACACAAAAATTATAAAATCAGATGGGTGAAGTAATTTTCCCTGACATGCTTAACTCATGATTATGAAAATTAGGAATTTTTAACAAGTAATATTTATAAGCCAATATTCTACTTCTGATGACTCAAAGAGCTTTACTGTAGTTTGCAAATTCCATGACTCTCCCTGTCAACTGGTTGATCCTATGGCAGAAGATATATATAATGCAATCATGTGGGAAAGGCATCTTCTGTTTTTATTATTTATTTATTGGCCACACCATGTGGCTTGTGGGATTTTAGTTCCCAATCAGCGATTGAACCTGGGCCTTTGGCAGTGAGAAGGTAGAGCCTTAACCACTGGACCGTGGGGGAATTCCTGCATCTTCTGGTTTTTAATTGGAGCCATGTGAGAAATCACTGGAAGATTTCTCTTTTTAGACTTCCAGAGCACTGAAGCTGAAAAAAAGAAAAACAGATACCCTCCCCCAAAACACTAACTGAACACACATTATGTAAAAATAAATAAATAAACCTTTTCTAAATGAGGGAAAAAACCCAATCTGTATGTTGTCTTTCAAAGTCCCCAGTTTCTGTGGGTTGACAACCTTTGGCTTGCTTTTGCAGCCAACTCTGATACGGGGCTGGATCAGCTGCAAGTTCCCTGTTTCTTCCTCTTTCAAGCTGCCTGCTCTTGTGTTTCTCAGGCTTGACCTCTTGCAAATAGGATAGGCCCCAGAAGGATATTTTCTTATGGAAGAAGTAAGTAAATATACAGTATCCTGCAGCTTAAAATCTGTTCTGCAATGGCATGGTCGAGCTTCAAGTTGCTAAAATCTAAACTTGAAATGCCATGCTTTCTATTGTTGGTGCAGCCTCTTGCCTCTCTTGAGATAACAGTTCTATATACCACACAAAAGTGTAACAGGACTCCATTAGCAGAATGTACAGAAGAACCAATGCGGAGTCAATAACTTTTGGATATTCATAAAAATCTGAGGATCAAGATGGATTACAGCAGTCACCTTGGGGCTGAAAAAGAGGATCAGAAGAAACCTTTAGACTTGTCCTCTCACTCATGACTGCACTCTGGTTTACAAAGGGACACAAGAAAGAACAACTGAATCGGTATCTGAGAGGATGATCAACCAAGGCAATCTCCATTGCAGTTTCCGCTGACACTCCTGAGATCTAGAGACAACAGGAGCCAAGTAAGCTCATCATCGAAAGCAATGTAGTGGTAATGTGTGCAAAACTTGCCAAAATGTGGATAAAATTCAGCTCAGCAAACCCTTGTCTGATTTAGAGCTGGGCAAAGAAGAATAAGGAAGAGAAAGAGTTTCTATGAAGGACGTTCTTAAACTTTGTGATCTTTCTCCATCTTGGGAGGTTGTTTCATTCCTGCTTTAAGCTAAGTGAGACGGGACTTCAACACACCAACTTTGAGAGGTAGACATGTGTCCTCTGGGGACTGGGAGCACGAGAACTGGTATGAGACATGATGCTATAGATCAGCTTTGAAGTGGCAGAGAGTGAGACAGCAAGGGTGAGAGTGAGAGCTAGAGAGAGAAAGAGAGGAACAAAAGGCAGGGCTGCACTGGGAGCTCATGATATGTCTGGTAACAGCACAGCAAGGATGAATGAGTGTTTCTTGTGGACAACACGGGGGCAACTGAGTGTAGCAAGCCCAGGGTCATGCTGTATACTTTCCAAGAGGATGCCTGGAGAAGCAATGTGACCCGCAAACAGGAAGATGGACAATTGGAAGCCAAGGGGCTAAGGAAGGAATACAGCTCTAAGGGAAGTATTCCTCGGTCAAAGAAGCTATTATCAGAGGGCCCAGTCGGGGTGTCTTCAAGGAAGCCCAGAAGAGCACTCTAGACAGAAAGAATTAGCATGCTATACCCAGAAAGTACATTCATGGATTAGGCTTATGCCCCTCAAGTAAGCCTTTTGTTGCCCTTAACATCGCCCTAACCTGACCCAAGGGCTTATTCAGTGGCTCAGCAGTAAAGAATCTGCCTGCAGTGTAGGACACTTGGGTTGGATTCCTGGGTCAGGAAGATCCCCTGGAGAAGAGCATGGCAACCCACTCCATTATTCTTGCCTGGAGAATCCCAAGAACAGAGGAACCTGGTGGGCTACAGTCCATAGGTTCACAAAGAGCTGGACACGACTAAAGTGACTTAGCGTGCATGCATGCAGGCATACAACCTGACCCAATGGAGAAAGGGATGGAAGAAGAAGAGAGGCAAAGCATGATGTAGAAATAGGAAAGAAGCCTCCTGCACCCTCTCTCTTACTTTCGGCTTTTGAGACTGAGGTGAGGCTGAGCTAGGGGAAAGAAGTCACTTCATGTGGTTATAACACAGGTCTGGGCAATTTTAGTACTGAAGTGAGAGTCTTCTTATGCCTGAATGTGACTGAAGTCCTATTATTATCCAAAAGTGGCATTAAAATTATGAGAGCAACAAGAGTTTACACAAGGGTAGGGAGGAAATAATGCACAGAGTTTGAAAGAATGGGATGGGGGAGCAAGGAAGAAAAAATATCTTCTGCTAACATTTTATCAGCTAAGACTATTTAATCACTAGCTACAAATAAAATCAATTTTACCATGAGGAACAAAAAACTTTTCAAAACACAGGCTCTTCTGTTAATGCATTGGATAAACCAATGGAGGAAGGTAATCTAGCCATTAGCAATTAAATTGCCTTGTTTTCAATCTGTCTCCATTAAAGACATCTCCCACTTTCTGTGGACAGAATTTCTGATGGGAAGGCTCAGAGTCGACTAGAAAAGGCAAGTGTTCTCCATCTTCCTGCTTATGTTGGCCAGTGATTCTAGTCTTCAGGTGTCTACATAAACACTAATTACTTTAACACTTCATTTTGTAGAGCCTCAAGTTGTGACTACTATTTGATTTAAGAGCTGGGCAAAGAAGAATAAGGAAGAGAAAGAGTTTCTATGAAGGACGTTCTTAAACTTTGTGATCTTTCTCCATCTTGGGAGGTTGTTTCATTCCTGCTTTAAGCTAAGTGAGACGGGACTTCAACACACCAACTTTGAGAGGTAGACATGTGTCCTCTGGGGACTGGGAGCACGAGAACTGGTATGAGACATGATGCTATAGATCAGCTTTGAAGTGGCAGAGAGTGAGACAGCAAGGGTGAGAGTGAGAGCTAGAGAGAGAAAGAGAGGAACAAAAGGCAGGGCTGCACTGGGAGCTCATGATATGTCTGGTAACAGCACAGCAAGGATGAATGAGTGTTTCTTGTGGACAACACGGGGGCAACTGAGTGTAGCAAGCCCAGGGTCATGCTGTATACTTTCCAAGAGGATGCCTGGAGAAGCAATGTGACCCGCAAACAGGAAGATGGACAATTGGAAGCCAAGGGGCTAAGGAAGGAATACAGCTCTAAGGGAAGTATTCCTCGGTCAAAGAAGCTATTATCAGAGGGCCCAGTAGGGGTGTCTTCAAGGAAGCCCAGAAGAGCACTCTAGACAGAAAGAATTAGCATGCTATACCCAGAAAGTACATTCATGGATTAGGCTTATGCCCCTCAAGTAAGCCTTTTGTTGCCCTTAACATCGCCCTAACCTGACCCAAGGGCTTATTCAGTGGCTCAGCAGTAAAGAATCTGCCTGCAGTGTAGGACACTTGGGTTGGATTCCTGGGTCAGGAAGATCCCCTGGAGAAGAGCATGGCAACCCACTCCATTATTCTTGCCTGGAGAATCCCAAGAACAGAGGAACCTGGTGGGCTACAGTCCATAGGTTCACAAAGAGCTGGACACGACTAAAGTGACTTAGCGTGCATGCATGCAGGCATACAACCTGACCCAATGGAGAAAGGGATGGAAGAAGAAGAGAGGCAAAGCATGATGTAGAAATAGGAAAGAAGCCTCCTGCACCCTCTCTCTTACTTTTGGCTTTTGAGACTGAGGTGAGGCTGAGCTAGGGGAAAGAAGTCACTTCATGTGGTTATAACACAGGTCTGGGCAATTTTAGTACTGAAGTGAGAGTCTTCTTATGCCTGAATGTGACTGAAGTCCTATTATTATCCAAAAGTGGCATTAAAATTATGAGAGCAACAAGAGTTTACACAAGGGTAGGGAGGAAATAATGCACAGAGTTTGAAAGAATGGGATGGGGGAGCAAGGAAGAAAAAATATTTTCTGCTAACATTTTATCAGCTAAGACTATTTAATCACTAGCTACAAATAAAATCAATTTTACCATGAGGAACAAAAAACTTTTCAAAACACAGGCTCTTCTGTTAATGCATTGGATAAACCAATGGAGGAAGGTAATCTAGCCATTAGCAATTAAATTGCCTTGTTTTCAATCTGTCTCCATTAAAGACATCTCCCACTTTCTGTGGACAGAATTTCTGATGGGAAGGCTCAGAGTCGACTAGAAAAGGCAAGTGTTCTCCATCTTCCTGCTTATGTTGGCCAGTGATTCTAGTCTTCAGGTGTCTACATAAACACTAATTACTTTAACACTTCATTTTGTAGAGCCTCAAGTTGTGACTACTATTTGATTTGGCTGAGTGATGATGAATACATTATTTAATCTCCTCCGGACATAGTTTCTTTGATGAAAATAAGATTGACGATGCAAAATAAGATTGATGATGCAATTAAAGATGCAATGAGAAATTTTAAAAAGTCAAAAGCTACAAAAATCAGAGAGCCAGCATAAATACCTCATGGAAATGACACCCGCACGTCCCCTGCAAAAACTCTTTGTGTCGCCCCATGGTTATAGAGAATGTGTCAACCACTTCATAGCCATATTTTTTAGCAGCTTCCAGGATAATCAAATTTTTTTTCCATAAATTCTGAACTTCACTCTGTATTGGAAAAGAGAAGAGAGAATTTTGATTAAAAGGACTGTTTTATGATTTAATAACTCAAGTTGAAACCACGTAAAAGTCATCTTTTTTATAGATTGATCTTATTATAAGACAAAGAATGAATTTCTTTAAGATGTGTTCTAATTTTTTCAAAATATAAATATTTGTGCATATATAAAACAACAATACATCAATGTCTATAGTGGCACAGTTCAGAACTGTTTCTTCTATGAAAAGTGGTTAGGTTTGCTGTCCACAGAGATCCACTGACGTATCTAAAATTCTCAATTTAAAAACCCAGACTTGAAAATCACAAATTCTATCTCTATCTATTTGAATTCTGCATTTGAATATTAATTAGTATTTGTTTTGCGCTCAGCTTTGTGCTGAAGGACAGGTATACAATGGCAAATAAACCACAGTGCCTATTCTTAAGACAGGGCATTCAAACAGGAGAAACAAATATGTAAATATTTATTGAGTCCTTTATTGGAGGGAAATATACCAGACTCTGGGCTTAGCTGATGGCTCAGTGGTAAAGAATCCGCCTGTAACGTGGGAGACGCCGGAGATGTGGGTTCGATCCCTGGGTCAGGAAGATCCTCTAGAGGAGGGCATGGCAACCCACTCCAGGATTCTTGTTCACAGAAACCCATGGACAGAGGAGCCCGGCGGTCTACAGTCCAAAGGATCACAAAACAACTGAGCTCCCGCACACAAACCAGACTCTGGCTTGGGAGAGAAAGGGGAACAGCTCTGCAGGGGCATGGCAGACTTCAAGAGGGCTTCCTGAGCAAAATGAGGTTTGCTGTTGGCTTCTGGGAGCCCCAGAAGTAAGTGAAGTCTCCATCTGCTGCTTTTGTAAGTCATATTCCTCCCTCCCTCCCCAACCATGCTCAAGGCATTGATGGAGATCAGCAGAGGTTCTAGTTTAGGTCCACTGTTGAGAAGACGGACTCCTCCACTAAGTATATGGCTCCAGGATTTCTCATCAGCTTGACCAGGGCTTTCTCAGATTTACCTGTAGTCTGAGGTTTTTGCTACCTAATCCACCCTTCTTCCACTCCCTTCGTATCAGACACATTACAGCCAAACATGGTTCCCAGTACATAGTGGATGCTCAAGAAATATTTGGTTAAAAAAAAAAAAAGAAAGAAATATTTGGTGTAAGACTGAGTAGATATGCATTGGGTGGTGTGGTCTGAAACTCTTCCCACCTACTCCTGCCCCCTCCCTTTTATTCTTCTCAGACATTCTTTCCAATAAATCCCCTTATCTGGTTGATCCTGTCCTGGTGTCTGTCTCTTTGAGAACCCATACTGCCACGGGGAGGGAATTGTACTCCCTCTTCCTTTTCTAAAGATCAAAAAAATTTTTTTTTTTATTTTCAAGGTAGAAAAGCAAATAATTATTTGCATTTGTTAATCCAACTACAAGATAAAAGAAGCAGTACAAAGGTGTCTAATTTTCTGTCTTTCCTGTGATGGCACACCTATTTCAGTGACATTCAAAGAAGAGTGTTTCTCCCCAGATGAATGTAGTGAATAGAGAAGGATCATAAAGGAGAAATCTGGAGGAAAAGGACCAGATGGGAAACAGTCTGTGTCATTACCTGAAAAATACTGCTCAAGGTGCTCAATAACGTTTGTGAAGTTTTTTCTTGTCTGGTTACAAGTACCCTCTCAGCTTTAAGGTGCCCAGTTATAAAAAGCAGAAGATACTTTGAAGTAAGTGGTTTCTAGAGAAAGGTCAGTTCTCTGAGAAAGAGACTTTGAGCCAGAAACTGGCATGCAGGGGGCCAGCAGGAGGTCCCCTCCCTCCTTGGGATCAACACCTCCAAGGGAGTGAGGTAGAGACAGAAGTTGAGCTGCAATATTGTTGCAACACAGGCTTTTGCTGATCCCACCAGAAGTTCTAGAGCTGGGAAAGCATTTCTGAGATGGTCCAGATTTAGAAAAGGGGGCTGAGTCCTGACTGAGGCTCTGCCCAAAAGGAAGAAGAGGCTTTCTGAGAGTCTCCTGTGTGCTGAGATTTGTGGTTTGCATTTGGGGACCAGAATGAGCAGTGCAGACGTCCCTCCCCTACCCCATCCTTGCTCCCACTGAGATGAGACTAGAGGGGGGGGGGCGGCAGACAAGCAAGCACAGGATCTGCTGAGGGACACAGACAAGGACATCAGACAGTTACAGGAGCTCGTGGCAGGAACAGCCTATTGAGTCCAGGGTCTTTCCAGTCCAGAAGTCCTCAATTAGGTTTCCTCAGAGGAAACTGCACTTAAACTAACACTGGAAGGGCAAACAACAGTTCCCCTTGGTGGTGGAGAGTGGGCTCCAAGAAGAGGGAACAGTAGCTTTAAAGATCTGGGGGTGACTGAGAGCTAGGCGTGCTTGAGGAGCCGAAACACTCAGTAGTGGAGTGAGTGCACGTGTGTGTGTGCACGTGTGTGTGTACATGTGAGTACACATGGGCACATATGCACTGGACGCAAGGATCAAGTCTACCTAGGAAGGTGGAGGCCGCATCCTGAATGGCCACGATGAGGACGATGAATGCCAGCGTCTGATGACAAGTTCAGGTTTCTTTTCTGCCTCCACTTACCACCATAATTTTCTCTTTTGTTTTATCATTTCCCCTCCTCTTCTTCCTTCCTTTCATCTTCGCCAAGTCTGCAAAACTGATGAGCACCATCGAAGCCCTGATGGCAGGCACCATGGTTCATGGTATCTGGCATACAGTAAGTGCCAAAGATCTGTTTGCTGAGATGAGTTCATTCTAAATCTACCTGGAGGCATCATAGGTCCTCCAGTTCCGGATGAGAGGCCACAATCAAGGAAGCAAAGTGGAGCTACCAGAGTCCTCAAGTATGGAACTGCAAACATGACCTGCAGACCTCAAATAACATTAAAGGAGATTCAACTCATAACCCAAAGAAGAAATGATCAAAAGACCTTCTTCTAATCCCTGACTGTCTCAAACCCTTCAGCTACCCCAGATGCCAAATGTCTCAACTCATTTTACATGACCTCAACCCCACCTGACTTCAAGAAGCTGAATTTGGTGGTTTTACTTTGACCACTTTCTACTATTTATCATACTTTGGCATCACAGATCTGGTGGCCAGGAAAATAAAGTTTTGAGAAAGGAGAGGGGTATCTTGTGATGTGTGCTGGAGAAAGCTAGGAGCACTTGTAAATGACACAAAAATAAATCTCACTTGGTTGACGCAGTCAATGGACAGCTTCCTGTCTCCCCAATTCCCAGTGCTTCCTGAGCTCCCCCTGAGCAACTGTACACAGTCCGGGCTGCCTGTGAGTTCTCCTAGCTGAGCAAGAGCAGCTGGTTCTCTTACCTACAGATGGTGTCTTTCTTTAATGAGACTTGTACTTAGTGTTGAGACTACCGATTTACTGTCTTCTATGAGAACTGATCAGAGACCTCGACTCCTTTCATTTACAAACATCCAACCTGAGGCAAAATGAATGATACTACTTCAAAGACGAATTCTGAAAGCAATCGGTCAGAAATCCTCTTTCCCAAAGCCACTCTTTTCCAAATTACTCACTGATACTGATAATTTCATATGTGATTTTAGCAGGAGTCTTTATAGTGTCTGAAACATGAATCAGGGAAGAGGATATTTACAACATAAGCCCTCTCATCTAACCCTCAGGTTTTTACTTTTTCAAACTCTGGTCCAACTTTCTTCTTTATGAATCCAAAGCATTATTTGTGGGCTGGTGTCCCCTTATGTTTCCCTTATGGGATACAATGGAAACAGTGAGAGACTTTATTTTGGGGGGCTCCAGAATCACTGCAGATGGTGACTGCAGCCATGAAATCAAAAGATGCTTACTCCTTGGAAGAAAAGTTATGACCAACCTAGACAGCATATTAAAAGCAGAGACATTACTTTGCCAACAAAGGTCCATCTAGTCAAAGCCATGGTTTATCCAGTAGTCATGTATGGATATGAGAGTTGGACTATAAAGAAAGCTGAGTGCAGAAGAATTGATGCTTTTGAACTATGGTGTTGAAGACTCTTGAGTGTCCCTTGGACTGCAAGGAGATCCAACCAGTCCATCCTAAAGGAAATCAGTCCTTAATATTCATTGGAAGGACTGATGCTGAAGCTGAAACTCCAATACTTTGGCCACCTGATGCGAAGCTGACTCATTTGAAAAGACCCTGATGCTGGGAAAGATTGAAGGTGGGAGAAGAAGAGGATGACAGAGGATGAGATGGTTGGATGGCATCACTGACATGGTGGACATGAGTTTGAGCAAGCTCCAAGAGTCGGTGATGGACAGGGAAGCCTGGCATGCTGTAGTCCATGGGGTCGCAAAGAGTCGGACACAACTGAGTGACTGAACTGAACTGGCCCCTTATTTCCAGGAATCATTATAACTGATTTGAAATCATAATCCTTAAGTGTACCATCTCCTTTTAATTTTATGAAAGTTGTTGAAGGTTATACAGTGCCTTTTGGGTCCTTTTTCAGACACCAGCAAGGATCCTTACAGGAACCATGAAGTTCACACAGCCTGGAAAATATGGATTTACCTGGGTTAAGAAGTGTACTCCATCCACTGGCAAATGAAATCCAATTCCCAACGTTTTGATGATCACAAGGATATTGAGTAAGTTTTCCCTGTGAAATAAGCAGATCTCAAGTCATAAACTCTGATGACATTTCTAGATGTCCGTATTTACACAAGCAAGTGGAACGGAATTCCTTTAGAATGTGATAATTGCCATGTAGGACTAAATTCTCATTTTGTAGATTTGATGTACCTTAGTGCTTTTGTGTGTGTGTTTGTGGATAGAGTTTTATATGTCAGTGGGCATGTTTTGGTTTGGATGCTGAAGAGCCATGTTGCAATACAAAATACAAAAGTATTTTTGAAACATTTAAAACTAGACTTGAACTGCTGGATTCTAAATTGCAAGTTATTCTTTATATAAAATCTTGGTAAAATTCACTCACATCAAGAGTAAATTTTTTTTATTTAGAATACAAATGATAATTATTGTTGCAGGAATTTACCTCTTTAAAACCTTGTGAATAATTTGCAGATGATTGGAATTAAGCCACTGAACACCACCAACAACCAATACAGTCTGACTGGTATTCTCCAGGGGACCTGATCTGAAATCCAGAAAGAAAAACAACACGTGTTGCCTTGAAACAGATGGTAAACATTTTAACAGCACTGCCTCACATTTCACTGAACCCTAGCTGGCATCCTGATCACAAGACCTCCTTATCATTTCTACCTCGTTTTCAGCCATATTATTAATACTTGGTATTTAAACTTTTCAGCACATCTGATACACAGCAAACAATCATGACTACTAGTAAAACATCAGTACATTGTGGTATGGTTTTGTTCAAAACTGCTCCATTGTACCTTTGCAAGAGATGTTCAAGGGCTTTTTCAAATGTTGGTCTCAATGAAGGGCTCATCCAAAACTGGGGATAGTAGGAATAACTGATCAAGGTCTTTCCTCCATTGACATTGTGGTAGAATTTAGTGCCATGCACCTTCTGCCATTCCTTCAGGGTTTCATTCAATCTTTCAATCAGATAGTACATTATCCCTCTGTTGGTTGAATCTCCAATGAAAAGAATCTACAAGTTAAAAAAAATTTTGCTTTCAAATCTGACATGTATAAGATATAGAAGACAATATAAAATAAGTAACCTGATGAAAACAGAGACATACATCCAATTGCAGGACAGCCCTTTAAACTCTTAGAAACGACATTAATTCTTCTCTCCCAAACCTGTTCATTTTCCCTTTCCATATTCCTAGTAATGACATCATCCACTGACCCACTAACTCATGTTTAAACCTCTTTGCTTTCTTTATGCTATCTTTAATTTCTCTATCCCTCTTAGGCACTTCACTTTCTCATCTAATCAGCTTAACGTGTTATTGATTCAAATAGGTGTGAAGTAGTCTAGCGCTATGAGTACTTAGAGATGTTCCAATCTCTTGATTTTGTAGATGAGAAAACTGGGAATCCACAGAGGTTAGCTAGCTCAATAGAGGTCATGCTACTACTTGAGAAAAGAGCCACAGAACTAGAATTTGATTTTCTGAAAAGCAGTCTATGTTCCAGGGTGCACATCCCAGGGCCATTTGCCATGGAAGCCTCTCATCTATCACCTCCTTTAAATTCCATAAGCACAGTCCTGCTTGAGGCTCCCATGGCCTCAAAGGTGTGCTGTTGTCAACACTTGCCTAATAGATCTTCTTGTAACATGTGTGTAAGTCACCCACTCATGTCCAACTCTGCCACGCCATGGTCTGTAGCCTGCCAGGCGCCTCTGTCCATGGAATTGTCCAGGCAAGAATACTGGAGTGGGTTGCTGTTTCCTTCTCCAGGGAATCTTCCTGACCCAGGGATCAAACCCGGGTATCCTGCAATGCAGGCAGGTTCTTGACCATCTGAGCCACCAGGGAAGCCCTCTTGCACCATGGCTGCCCTCTAATTCATTCTCCACACAGTAATACTGGGATAAATTTCCAAATGTCTCATCTCCCTTTCATGCTCAAAAACCTTATCAGCTCTCCATGTTCTGCGGACTCAGGTTTTAACTCTGAGGTTCAGTTAACATTTACTGAATTTTTATTGCATATCGGCTTTTGCTAGGTGGAAATTTCACACTGAGTACTCACTTTTAATCTCCATAATCATGAGATATGAGTCATTATCTCTGTTTCACAAATGAGGTATTTGAGGCTCAGGGAGATTGAGGTTATAAATCTAGTAAATGGGGAACACAGGACTCAAATCCAAGTCCTTGATCTCCAAGTGCAGGGTCAATGGCCCCATCCTCTCAACACTTTCCTTCAAGTAAGCAGGTCAGATTTCTACTTTTTCACTGAACATGATTTGCAGTCAACAACATCTGTTTTTCCTTGTGCTAATCCATCTGCCTAGAAAGCCCTGCCCTCTGCAACCTAGTCTGTATAAATGCTACACAACCTCCAGACTTAACACAGACGTCTTTCCCAGAGGGTCTTGTCCAATGCCCCAGTCAGAATGACCTTTCTGTCCTCTGTGACTTCATTATAATTTTCAATTCCATTGCTGATTTTATCAAAGACTACATGAAATTACAGCTATTTGTGACTGTATCTTTTTTTCTTATATCATATCAATAAGTATTTAAGGCCAGAGTCAAGATTAATTTCTAAATTCTGATTTCCCCCATAGTACTATGCATGCATTTTAAAAATATTTATTGAACTGAAAGTCAAAGGGACTTTTGTTAGAGACAATTTCTTTAATGTCTCTGGACAAGGTTGAATTCCTTCTTCAGCTCTTTACTCTTTCTGTTGAGATTTCCCTTTGCATTGTGTGCTGTATGCTAAGTTGCTTCAGTCGTGTCCAACTCTTTGTGACCCCATGGACCATCGCCTGCCAGGCTCCTCTGTCTATGGGATTCTCCAGGCAAGAATGCTGGAGTGGGTTGCTGTGCCCCCCTCCAGGGGATCTTCCTGACCCAAGGGTTAAACCCACAGCTTTTATGTCTCCTGAACTGACAGGCAGGTTCTTTACTACCAGCGCAACTTGGGAAGTCCCCCTTTGCAATAGTCATGCACATATTTTCTTCTGATTTTAAAGTGGCCACTGCCATCACTTGTCAGGCACTACTGCATTCACCCATCCATAATGAATTTAGTGAGACTCTGCAAAGGTTTATTCTTTCATGGTAAGTGTATTCAACAGTAGTATGAAGAAATCCAGAAGGCATTCTCTTTCAGAATTTCCCTTCCAATCACTATTACAATAAGCATCGCCAAGCTCAACAGAGTGACCTAAGATGTCAAGGTCCCAGTCACTGATCCTCTAGGTCAAGTTCCATCTGGAGTGTCAACATCCCAGTATAAGAAAAATACTCTGTGAAATCACTTGAAATTCTCCTTACTGGATTTGACCTGTAACTATTTGTTTGTTTTTCTGGTCCAGAATTCTGATTTTTAAAAGAGAACTCTGAATAATCAGAAAAGCTCTTCATTTCAGAGACTAGTAAAGACCCAACTTCATTTGTGTTGTTAATAGTTTGCTAAGGCTGTCAAAACAAAGCAACACAGACTGGGTAGCTTAAATAACCGACATTTATTTTCTCATGATTCTTGCCTAGTAGTCCAAGATCAAAGTATTTGCATGGTTGGTTTCTTCTGAGGACATCTCTGCTTGACTTGTAGATGGTTATCTTCTGTGTCCACATATGGTCTTCTGTGTATGTCTGTGTCTTAATCTCCTCTACTTATAAGGACACTAGTCATATTGGAATAGGGCCCAGCATAATGACCTTATTTTTCCTGGTCAGTCTCTCAGTCATGTTTGACTCTTTGTGACCCCATGGACTGTAGCCCCACAGGCTCCTCGGTCCATGGGATTCTCCAGGCAAGAATACTGGAGCGGGTTGTCATTTCTTCCTCCAGGGGATCTTCCTACCCCAGGGATCAAACCAGGTCTCTTGCACTGCAGGCAGATTCTTTACCGTTGAGCCACCAGGCAAGCCCCCAATTTCCCTTAATTACCCCTTTGGAGGCCCTGTCTCCAAATACAGTCACATTCTGAAGTACTGAGAGCTAGAACTTCAAAACATGAATCTGATTGAGTAGAAACACAATTCAGCTCTCGATACCAGCAAGAGACCTTGGCAAGCCAGTTGAGCTAAATTTCCACTACAGATTTTTCTTACAGATTCTTTCCATCTCAGAATCAAGATGCAGTCCCTCCTAGCGTTATCTCTGGGCAGCCAGTAAGATCACTGGACGTCTGTGCTGTGGGCTACAGAAGCTGAAGAAAATCCAAGTAGCTGCCTATTCCTAAGAGAAAACATATTTTCTAAATGTCCAGTCTTTTCTGTGGGGTTGTAGGAAGATGCAGCCCAGCAATGAATGACAGAGGCAAAGAATCTGTTTTTCAGAATTCTTAGATACTGTTATTTATTAACCAGATGATCTTAGACAAATTATGTGACTTCTTTGTGGGTTCATTTCCTTCTGTGTAAATTGGGGAAAATAATGGCAACACCATAGAAGACTTGAATGAGCTTTTAAATACTTATTTCTGGCATCCAGCACACAAGAAGTAAGAGCCAGCATGAAGGCACAGGAAAGGCAAGAAGCGTTTCGGAATGCTTCTTGAGCGCCCTGCAGTGCACCGCTTGTTGGCTGTTCAGTTGCTAAGTCGTGTCCAGCTCTTTGTGACCCCACGGATTGCAGCATGCCAGGCTTCCCCGTCCTTCACTACCTCCCAGCACTGGCTCTAACTCATGTCCTTTGAGTTGGTGCACTTCTAGGCACTTTATTTTATTTTTATATGACACCAACTTAGTGCCATCAATTTGCTTTGTTTTAATAGGAAATAGCTCATATGATTTTTTTCTTACAAGCATTCTGTAACTATCTTGGATTTCTCGTTGATCCAAGATTTAGGAGAGGGAGCTTCAGTTTCTAAGTGGCTGCGTTTCTGTATTGTTTTGTGTTACTGTAGTGTATACTTCGGCTGTTAATTGTTGGTTTTATGTAGTATCTACTCTGGGATCGGTTGGCATGTGAGATCTTAGTTCCCCGACTGGGATCGAACCTGTGCTTCCTATAGTGGAAGTACAGAGTCTTAAGCACAGGGCTGCCAAGGAAATCCCTAGGCACTTTAAATTCATTAGCTATTTCAAAGAAAAAGTCAGTGAAGATAGGAAGTGTCTAAATCACAGCATCCTCTCTCTTGTCCTACTAACCCTGTTACAGACTCTCAACAGGGCTTGGAGGTTGCTGGTGAAGCACATTCTGAATCAAGCAGACTGATAACCTCTGAACAGTCCCTCATGTCTTCACTTCTCATCAGTAACTAACAAGCTCAAGGGAGAAGGAAGGGGCATCTGCAAAATACCACCACCATCTGCAAAACAAATTCTCCTAAACTGCAAACAGCAAGATAGCAGTTTTTGAATCTAGTAGACACAGCTCTGACATAGAAGACTATGTTCTAGAGAATTCTTCTATCCCAGTGCCTTTCTATTCATGAAAGATGGAACTGACAAATTATAACTAAGATGTAAATGCACTTGTGAATTTAAGATTGCTGGTTCTGTAGAGAAAGCTGTTTTGGGAAGAGGTTAATTGGTATTCCTAACTAAAAGATTTCTAACTTCAAAATATCAGCTTTTAAAATGCACACAATTAGAAAATAATACCAGGAATAAGAGTGGTTCTTTTCAGCCACATGATTCGTATTTGGTCTTTATTTAGATCATTCAACTTGGTGAATTTTTAAAAGGAAATGAGTAAGTTATTTGTTTTCAACTTCCAATGTAAAGGGTCTAAATTATGATAACATATATGTATAACTAGCCATACAATTTGTAAAAAAACTCTTCTTTCCTGTGAAAATTACTGCCTTATACTAGCATGCACAGGTGTTGGCTGGCAGATGCAATCAAAGAAGAAAAAGTACAATTAACTAATACACAATTATAGAGATAATCAGTTAGCAATAAAATATTAAAATAGCTATTTCTTCTCCCTACCAATTTTTTTTAAAGCTCCAATGATATTAAGCACCACAGGGAGAAGTTTTTTCTTTCTTTTTTTTAACTGTTGAATT